CTATAAGTAGCCGAGGGTCGGGCGGATGCGGCTACGCTCTGTTACCTCCGGGTTGCTCCTCTCCCGTCAGCGGCCCTGGGGTCGCATCTCCCTTGTTCTGTCCTCATCTGTGATCTGTAAGGTGGTGGGAGCTGCAGGAGGGACTCGGGAGGCCCAGGAACTAGAAATGGTGAGTGTGCGGCCGGGCGCGGGGACGGGGAGGAGGGGCGGGTGGAGCCGCCGCGGCGGGACCGTCTCTCCACGGTCAGGTCCGGAGCCTGCGGACCCGAGGCGCCGGGGGCTCCGCTGAAACTGCAGGCCCCTCGGGCTCGCAGGGTGGGGCCCAGCCGGGACCCGGGCGTCCAGTGTGTCCCCGCGGCAGGGCCTTGGGCTGCGGAGCGGGTCTGGGCAGCTCTGCACCCTCATCCCCGCGGCTCCGCAGTCGGTGCGGTGACCACGTGGAGGGTCATTGGGGACAATGGTGACTCGGTCCCCACGGTTCGTGCATGGGAGGAGCTGTGGTCTGTGGGGTCCCCTGTCCCTCCTTTCTCCCCAGAAGGACCCCGTTTTCTCCTGAGTTTTGATGTTTGTGGAGCAGGCTCTCAAGTGCACCCCCTGTCCCCCAGGCCTAGCTCTGCAGCAAATGCCTGCATTTCCAGTCTCTCCCCGGAATCCTAACCTCCATCTTCCTTCTCTGAGTCACAGCATGTTTATCAGCTATTTGTTTCGTGGTGGTTTTCAAACTGTTAAAAACAAAATTCAGCTGAGTAAGTGGAAGGTTAACTGGCTTGATTCCTATTCACGAAAAGGGCTGCATCCCATCTAGGAAATAGAATCTCAGAGCAGCTGTTCACAATGGAAGGCGTTTCCAATAGGCAGAAAGGAAGTGGCTTTGAGAGGTTATCAGTGAAAGAAAAGAGGGGATTGCTTCAGGTAAGGTCACCCTTCCTTAGGAGAAGGAACAGCAGGAGTCTTTAGACAGATTAGTGTTGAACAGCAAGTTGCAGAGTGACTGGGTTAAAACTTTACTCCTGGGAGAGGTTGAAACTGCAGTTACATACAGTCATGCACCCCTGAACCTGGGGAGGACATCCTGACGCAGTTTTGTTGTTTTCAGTTCTCTTACAAACCTGCATGGTGTAGCCTGCTACACACCTAGGCCATATGGTGTAGCCTGTGGGTCCTAGGCAACAAACCTGTGCAACATGCTACTGTACTGAATGCTGTTGTCAATTGTAATGCAATGGTAGGAAGCATTTATGAAAAGGTGCAGTAAAAATGTGGTGTGCAAGGTAGAAAATGGTACATCCGTGTGGGGCACTGACCCTGAATGGGCTCCAGGACTGGAGGCTGCTCTGCAGGAGTCAGTGATTGGTGAGTGAATATGAAGGCCTAGGACGGTGCTGTGCACGACTGTAGACTTTATCACACTGTACACTTAGGCCAGGAAATTTACAAAAAACAGATTCAATCAAGTCCAGGAGGCAATGATGCAATCAAAAGGCACAGTCAACACAGGACCTGTGAGGCTGCTGCCCGCATAAAACAGCATACTGCTTCACAGCAAAGTTTTCTTTCACTAAGTAGTAAGCACAGAAAGATAAAAGGATAGTATAGCAAATACATAAACCAGTTTATCATCATCAAGTATTCTATGTAGTGACCATAACTGTGTGTGCTGGACTTTCATAGGACTGGCTGCATAGGGAGCTTGTTTACACCAGCGTCATTATAAATATCTGAGTAATGCATTTCCCTATGACATTGTGATGGGTGTGACATCACTAGGTGATGTCAGTTTTTCAAATCCACTGTAATCTTTGTTTTATAGAAGGGGTTTTATTTTTCATTAAGTTATAATTGACATACATTAGTTTAAGGTGTACATTATAATGATTTTATATCCTATATAATAAAAGGCTAATATGCAAATTGACCAGATGGTAGAATGACTCGTCTCTATGATGCGCACTGACCATCAGTGGGCAGACGCTCAATGCAGGAGTTGCTCCCTGGTAGATGGTGTGCTCCCACAGGAGGAGTGCCGCTCAGCCAGAAGCCTTGCTTACTAGCAGGGTAGGAGCTCTGCAGCAGCACTAAGGATCCCTCGGGGCCTGCGCCGGGCTGAGGGACCCTTCCCCCCAGTGCAGGAATGTCGTGCACTTGACCTCTAGTTTGTATATATTGTAAAGTGATCATCACAATAAGTCTAGTTAGCATCTGTCATTATACATACTTACAGAATATTTTTTTCTTGTAATGAGAACTTTTAAGATTTATTCTTAGCAACTTTCAAATCTGAAATAAAGTATTACTAACTGCAGTCACCGTACTATACATTGCATTTCCATGACATATTTTATAACTGGAAGTTTGTACCTTTTGACAGCTTTCATCCATTTGACCTGCACCTCACCCCTGTACACCACTCCTGTAACCTCTAGCAACCATCAGTCTGTGCTCTGTATCTATGGAGTTTTTTTTGTGTTTTTTAAAAAATATATTTTTTATTGATTTCAGAGAGGAAGGGAGAGAGATAGAAACATCAGTGATAAGAGAGAATCATTGTTGGCTGCCTCCTACATGCCCCCTACTGGGGTTTGAGCCCACAGCCTGGGCATGTGCCCTTGACAGGTACCAAACCCTGGACCTTTCAGTGTGCAGGCCGACACTCTGAGCTAAACCAGGTAGGGTTGGACTTGTTTTTTTTAAAAGATTCCACAGATAAGTGAGAATATGTGGTATTTCTCTTTTTCTGACTTATTTCACAAAGCATCATGCCCTCAAGGTCCATGAATGTGTTGTTTCAAGTGGCAGAATATTTTTTGCTAATGGCTGAATAATACAATATTCCTCTGTGTGTGTGTATGCACCATTTTATTAAAAAAAATTTTTTTTTAATCCTCACCCGAGGATATTTTTTGGTTAATTTTCAGAGAGAGTGGAAGAGAAAGTAAGACAGAAAGGTGCATACATTTGACCAGAATAGAACCTGGGACCTTTCAGTCTGCAGGCTGATGCTCTATTTACCAAGCCAAACCAGCTAGGGCTTACTTTTTTTTTTTTTCAATAAGTTGACACAATATATTAGTTTCAGGTGTCAAGTTAGTGATTAGACATGTATATAACTTACAAAGTCTAATACCATCAGACACCACACCTAGTTATTAGAATATTATTGACTATATTTCCTGTGCTGTACTTTACATCCCCCTGACTAATTTATAACTACCAATTTGTACTTCTTAATCCCTTCACCTTTTCACCCATCCCTCAAACCACCCCCCCCCCCCCCAACTATCATCCTGATCTCTATGAGTCTGTTTCTGTTTTTGGTTGTTTGATTTTTTTCTTTAGATTTCACATATAAGTGAAATCATATGGTATTTATCTTTCTGTCTGACTTATTTCACTGACTTTAACCTCTAAGTCCATCCAGGCTGTTGCAAAAGGTAAGGTTTCATTCTTTATTACAGCCAAGTAATAATCCATTGTATATATGTACCACTTCTTTATCCACTTGTCTGTTGATAAGCACTTGGGTTGCTTCCATATATTGACTATTGTAAATAATGCTGCAATGAACCTATATTCTTTTGAAGTAGTGTTTGGGATTTCTTCAGATATATACCCAGAAGTGGAATTGCTGGGTCATATAAGGCAGTTCCATTTTTAATTTTTTGTGGAACCTCCATACTGCTTTTCCATAGTAGCTGCACCAATCTTCATTCTCACCAATAGTGCATGAAGGTTCCCTCCACATCCTCACCAACACTGGTTGTTTGTTAATTTCTTGATGATAGCCATTCTGACAGGTGTGATTTGATAGCTCATTGTGGTTTTTTTCCCCCTTGTAATCCTCAACCGAGGATTTGTTTATTGATGACAGACAGAGAGACAGAGAGAAAAACACTGATTGGTTGCCTCCCGTACCGTTACTGGGAATTGAGCCCACCACAAAGGTATGTTCCCTGACCAGAATTGAACCTGAAATCTTTTAGGGATGATGCTCCAACCAATGGAAACAATTGTAGTTTTAAGTTGTATTTCTTATGAATAGTGACACTGAACTTCTTTTCATATGTCTGTTTGGCCATCTGAAATGTACCTCCTCTTTGGAGATGTAGCTGTTCAGGTCCTCAGCCCATTTTTTAATTGGATTGTTTGTTTTGATGGTGTTGAGTTGTATGAATTCTTTGGTATTAACCCCTCATCAGATGTATAAAATATCTTTTCCCATTCAGTAGATTGTCTTTTCATTTTGTTGGTTTCCTTTGCCCTGCAAAAACTTTTGTTTATTTTGGTCTCGTTTGTTAATTTTTTTTTGTTTGCCTTGCTCGAGAAGACATGTCAGAAAAATATTGCTAAGAGAAATGTTAAGGGATTTTACTGCTGATGTTACCTTCTAGAAGTTTCACATTTAAGTCTTTAATCTATTTTGAGCTAATTCTTGTATATGGTGTAAGAACGTGTCTAGTTTACATTTTTTGGCATGCATTGTCGTTTTCCAAACACCATTTATTGAATAGACTTTCTTTATTCCATTGTATGTACTTGTCTCCTTTGTCATACATTAATTTACCACATAAGTGTGGATTTATATTTTGGCTCTCTATTCTTTTCCATTGGTCTATCTGTCTGTTTTTATGCTGGTACCGTGCTGGTTTGATTACTATAGCTTTGTAGTATAGTTTGATATCAGGTAAAGTGGAATCTCTGACTATTCTTCTTTGTCAAGATAGCTATGGCTATTTGGGGTCTTTTGTGGTTTCATATGAAATTTTGAATTATTTTTAACTATATTTTTATTGATCTCAGAGAGGAAAGGAGAGGGAGAGACAGAAACATCGATGAGAGAGAATCGATCGGCTGCCTCCTTAATCCCCCCCCACCCCCCCCACTGAGGATTGAGCCTGAAACCCAGGCATGTGCCCCAGGACCCTTCAGTCCGCAGGCTGACACTTTCCACTGAGCCAAACCAGCTAGGGACACATTTTGAATTATTTGTTCTAGTCCAGTGAAAAACGTCATTGGTATTTTGATAGGAATTGCACTGAATCTATAGATCACCTTGGGTAGTATGGACATTTTAATGATGTTAATTCTTCTTATCCATGAGTATAGTATTTACTTACATTTGTTTGTATCTTCTTCAGTTTCTTTCTTCAGTGTATTATAATTTTCTGAGTA